GGAGGGGGAGGGGCAGGGGAGGGGGAGGGGCAGGGGCAGGGGAGGGGGCAGGGGAGGGGGAGGGGCAGGGGACGGGGAGGGGCAGGGGCAGGGGAGGGGGAGGGGCAGGGGCAGGGGAGGGGGCAGGGGAGGGGGAGGGGCAGGGGAGGGGGAGGGGCAGGGGCAGGGGAGGGGGAGGGGGAGGGGCAGGGGAGGGGGCAGGGGAGGGGGAGGACATGAAAATGAGGGGAAGGGGAAATAAGGTTTTCAAGGTACGGCGGGAGATGACCCCCGTGAGGAACGGAAAGGTGTAATCCCTGTGTTTAAGATCCGGGACGAAAGTACGGAAACAGAAATAGGTAAAGAAGTTTTTAAACAATTGTGTACGGCAATAATCCCACCGCGCTATAGAGGCAGACGTGACCCAACCAATACACACCAGCCAGTGGCACACATATACACACATACTCACACATACTCACACATACTCACACATACTCACACATACTCACACATACTCACACATACTCACACATACTCACACATACTCACACACAAATTCACACATACACACATACACACATACACACAAGCTGTGCCCCTCCTGACCCGCCCCCCAACCGCCCTCTTCCCACATCCCGCCAACCTCCCAGCACCACCCGAACCCCGACAGACGGCAGGAGAGGGCCCAATGAACTGAACGTTTCCTGCACATGTGGATACATCACCCTCGCTCCGTTTTCACGTCGGGCTAGGCGGGTTCGTGATTTGCCCAACAAAAGAACAAGGCTCGTCCCCTCCTGCACACACACACGTACACACACGCACACACACACACACACAAATGGACAACCCCACCCCGCACTCCGGAGCTCCACTCACCCTGCCCTGTACGACAAAGTACAACCTGTCCGGCGGTCGCCCCCGGGTTAGTGCCACCTCCCGCCGCGCCAGGATGTGACCCGACATGAGGCGGGAGAGCTCCCATTGGAGGGGACCGGGCCACAAACTGAAAAAGTACGACAAAGAACACATGTACGACTGGATGAACCTGTGCGATGTGCAGTACAGTGCGGGAGGGTAGGGGTAGGGGAAGAGGAGTCTGGAGGGCCGGGCGAAGGAAGCTCTGGGCCGAGTTGGGTTGGCGAGTACGACAAGAGCCGGGGGAGCGGGTGGGGTAGAGAGGGAGAGGTTGCTCCTCCGGGGGTTCCCGGTTCCTCTGCCGTACACTGTGTCTCACACACCCTAAGCCTTCCTCAGCCAGGAGGGCCTGAGCCCCGAAAACCCCAACCTCTCACCACCATTTCCCCCAGCATCCAGCTTGCGAAACCCTAATTTATTTCCTCCTTCCCTCCCTCTCCCTCTCCCTCTCCCTCTCCCTCTCCCTCTCCCTCTCTGTCTCCCTCTCATTCCCTCCCTCTCTCTC